ACGATGCGGAACAGCAACGACACGTGACGGAATACACAACACAAGATCTTGAAGCCTTAGGAATTTTGTCCTTAAAGGTGAAGCGGAGTTGAGACAAACGTAAAGTTGGACGAAAAACGAATCTAATATTAAGTTGGGAAAAGGCCGAGGAACAAAGACGGGGGATTTGGGCACGAATTTGAAGAGAGTGAGCAACAGTATATAGAAAAGAGAGAAATATAGACTTTCTTAGGAGCAGAATGAACAACTGGTTTGGGTTTAGACACATTTTCTAAAAACTAATCTAATAAATATTTTCAACTGTATTTTTGTTATAGCTCTTTTACGTATTTTCTGCTGAGCTTAATATTTTTCTTAAGATTACGATTTCCGCCTGGGGCATATATGGCAAATATTATATGTCGTTGTAAATAAATGTTGCATGTTACTTGGCAAAGCTTAATAAATAAATTTCAGCGCTTTCATGTTCTATTTTGTTTTTGTAATATTTCTTGTTATCGCTTACAAGTAAAATATTTATAAAGATTATTTTGTATGTGTTGGTGTTATGTACTCAGGTGAATATGATGTTTGTGATGTTACTCTGAGTGTGCATCCACACCGGGCAAGCTGAAAGGTTTGCTTGCATGGCCACGGTGGGAATCGAACCCGCGAACTTTGGGATACTAGTCCAATGCCAGAGGCGTAGCCAGGATTTTCGGTCAGAGGGGCCCGGCAAAAACCCAGGTGGGGCCAAGCCGCCAGTGACTCGAGATGCAAAGTTCGCGCAAGAAAAAATTTTGCGGACCACACAACCTTTTAAATCTCCCCCCCCCCCCGTCGACAACTTTTTCGGTAAAAATTTTTTTCTGGACAATAACATTACAATTGCTTTCGTAGCACTTTTCCCGATTTCCGTATCACTTTTTCCGATGCTTCACCACGAAGATTTCGACAACATTAGAGAGTTTGAGCAAGAGAACGAAGTCGGACGACGACGACGTGGACCGTGGTTGAGCTAGAAGTTTTGCCTGTCTTGCACATTATCTTACGCATTCTGAGTTTAGGGTCAGGCGTGAAGACAGATTAGAGATTTATGTCTAGCTGTTTATGAATGCTGACCCAAATCCTTACCCTGATCAGGATAAAACAGCGAGACATGAATCCATATCTCGCCTTCGTTCACAACGAAAAATTCGCAAAAATTTTGGCAAAATTCGCTGTGAACTTCGTTCCAAACGAAGGCAGAAGGACAAAGACGGGATATAGTTTCATGTCTCGCTGTTTTTTTCTGGATCATGGCAAGAATTAGGGTCAGTATGCATAAACAGCGACACATGGGAAGACACGTTGAGCAACCACCAGCTGTGACGTCCAACTCAGTATGCGCAAGATAATGTGTAGACGGCAAAAATTGGCAAGTACGCCTTCGTCTTCGTACTTCGTTCCTTGCTCAAACTCTCTATTGACAATTTTCCGACGGGTCTCAATTTTCCGACGGGTCCCCCCCCCTTTCCCTCCGGCCACGGCGCCACTGCCGAGCCCGCAATAAAAATTCACTTGTAAAAAAACAGATTGGTTTAAACTTCATCTGATCCTCATTTAATACATATTGAAATAATTAGGGTTAGTGAAAAGGTATGTGTTTCAAGCTGTGTGCCGCAAATAAGCAAACAAGATTTTAGGTTTGACACCGATGCCCAGCAAAGCATATATTCTACAGAATTTTTGCATTATTGACAGCATGAAGCTATATAATCAAGGATTCCCTTTTTTATACAATACATTTTATCAGGGGCCCCCAAAATTTTGCCAGGGGGGGGGGGCGGCCCCCCCGTCCCAGCCCTGGCTACGCCTCTGTCCAATGCTCTGCCAACTGAGCTACGTGGTCAAGTCGGTTCGAGTTGACGATATTTCGGAACTGAGTCTAGTTACTTCGATATCAATGTAATCTATGATATGATTCTTTTGTGTGTGTTCGTGTTATGTACTCAGGTGAATATGATCGATATTTACGCCAATATGAAGTTTACAGTTTGCTGTCTGCGTAAACATCAATCCAGGTCCCAACATTCAAAATAACAAACAATAACTAGAAAATACATGCATGCAGAAACCCTCGCCTTGCTGACAAAATCGTTGTATTTTCCGAACAGGAAGTATCTAGAGTAGTTGTCATGGTAACACGATAATTTTTTAAGAATATTCTTACAAATGAAAATCGCCTAAAAATATCACTTTTAATTACAAAATTATCAATTTCCCAAAATATATATGTTAGGTATATAATTATGCGTAATACAAGCTTCAATTTAAGGTAAAATTCAACCACAAACAATTCACAAAACGTTTTAAAGTGTTCTTTATAAAACTAAACTGCCTTTAACTATTAAATGGCTTTATCGATAAACTTTGAGTTTGCAATAAAATTATTTCAAATTCTCGCTTGCAAATAACTTTGGTCTTTGCTTTATTTTTTATTTAAAAAATTCAATATAATAAAAAAGGGAATCAATATTAAAGTTACACTGAAATTTATATATGCTGTCTTGTTTAGTTGTTTCATATACGCAAAGGCCGTCGGGTTTTAAAGCCATTATTATAAAATCAATATTTAAAACAAACTTACCTTCGTTAACGTCGGCTCCCTTCTTTTAGCTGATTCTTTCGCCCTTTCTTTCTTGAAATTTACAAAATCTTGCAGAAATACGAGCAAAAATGAAATATATTTGCAAGAAATTTATCAATCATCAAATCAAGAAATGTTTGCTATTTCGCTGTCGTCATGCAGTCGTTATAACTTATAATGCAAACTTTAAATTGGACCAATCAGTGTCCGTTATTCATGACAATCAGCCATATTTTTGAGATCAGTGAGGATGACCACCCATCGTTGGTGACCGACGCCCGCGCTCACTGATGAACTTTAGACTTCGCTAATGCTTTCGTTTCCCCGGGTGTAAATAGCCGGGGGGGAATTAGTACCCTCGCACGGCGCTTCGCGGCGCCGGCTCGGGGACTATATTCTATAATAATATATCCTTTCGGATCCAAGGCTAGGGCTGCACGGAACCTTGTTACTTATATCAATTGCGCTGAAGTTCATTGTCTTATCTCAATTGCGCAGTATATTATAGTACCGCTAAAAGTAAGTAAATGACGCGTCATGATCGAGCGATGATCTGGCTGTAAAGCCTCGCTTCAACGGATGTAACGAAGAAGCGGATGAGCTGAAACTGACGCTAAGTAATAACTACTGTACAGGGTGATTACCGCAAACGGCAAACTTCAATTCAAATTGTACTTCGAGGTCAACTGCTAGCCGTCATCAAATTTAATTAAGACAACTTGTGCATCAAATTGAAAGTTTCCAGCTGCTGTCAAATTGAAAGTTTCCAGTTGAAGTTTCCAGTTGCTGTCTGCGTAAACATCAATCCAGGTCCTAACATTCAAAATAACAAACCATAACTATATTCTATAATAATATATCCTCTCGGATCCAAGGCTAGGGCTACACGGAACCTCGTTTTCCGGATTGACAGTCCTTTAATAGGCTTGTTACTTATATCAATTGCGCTGAAGTGCATTGTCTTATCTCAATTGCGCAGTATATTATGACGAGTCATTTACTTACTTTTAGCGGTACTAGATCAAGCCTGCATGACAAGCGGTCCCTAAAATATACTAGATCGAGCGATGATCTGGCTGTAGAGCCGCGCTTCAACGGATGTAACGAAGAAGCGGATGAGCTGAAACTGACGCTAAGTAACAACTATACTGTACAGGGTGTTTCAGTAAAAAAGTACACAATTCTAAATGGTTAATTACTATTAATTGAAATTTCCGCAATCTTTTTTGAACATTTCTGTCAAAATCGGACCCAAAAGCGTTTTCCGATTTCTTCAACATTAATATTTTCGGAATACCTAGCGCCACGCATGCATGTTTCGGTGACCCTTAAACGTATCAGCTTATCCGCCTGTAAATCATTACATATTCGTTTAAGTGCTGCTCTAAAGTTATATTCCTTGCAAATATTGTGTGAAGTCTGTGGACACTAATTTGTGAGTCTATTTATAACGTTTATAGCAAATATGGTTTGGCAGTTTTATAAGCCCATATCCTGTACAATGACCTATCAGTACCAGTATGAAACCATTTTATAACTACCAGCATTGAATATATTGAAATATAAAGGGTAAAGGGAAGCTAATTACTGTACTTTAGATTTCACTTTCGATATTAATTTGCGCTAGTGTTGAGATATCAGAAGCCCCTTAACACTCATATTCTCAGAAATTCTCACAAACAGTTGCGGAAATTTCAATTTAGGTGCCATTTTGGGAGAGTCTGTATTTTTTATACATCCTATCCTTAATATTACTCAGCGTCACGTTTCAGAATATACTGCGTAATTTACTAATTGATAACACTTTGGTCCAGCTAGCCTGCCAAGCAGGCTAGGCTTCAGCGCAATTAATTTACTGTTACCAGTTATATTAATTTACTGTAGCACCGGTTATATACTGTTACCTATGTTTGCGTAATTAAATACGGCGTCGTTGTATATAGCAATATAAATCTGCAATCACTGTCAGGGCGTTAGAAAGAGGTATAGCCATACGGTACTGCAGTGGGTATCGCTATTGTTTAGTATACATTGTAGTTTTGAAAAATCACACGTCCCCAAGGAGGAGCTCACATCTGTGAAATAAAATGTGAAATGGATCTCTTGTTTGAAAATTGATATCAATCGATCAATTAAAAAACATTTCAGTCTTTCCGCTTCTCACATTCATCCGTTTAATTAATCATCTGAAAACAATTATTATGCGTTTCATATTACGTTGCACAATCGCCGAGATTTATTTAAGGATTAGCAATGACGCTGATTTATAAAACAATATTTTTTTAACGTTTGTTTTTATGTTTTATCAATTTTATTTGAATTGATAAAACATATACAATACTGTCGGAGCTGTGAATGCGCAATGATGGCTACATATTTCAGTAGTGGCCCCCTCCTGACATATACCGCTGAAACAATGTCGACGGGTATCATGCAACAGTATAAAAGAAGAATGTCAGTAACTGAGTATCAAACAATTCTTTTCGACACATAAGTTTCTAACTCAAGGGACAATTAAAGTCATAACTGAATTGCAAAAATCAGACAATGAAGACAATCGCAATCCTGTTGATACTTGCGACTTTGTTAGCAGTAAAAGCTGAGGAAAATGGAAGAGGTACATTTTATGTTGTAAATGTTAGGTTTTGGTCGTATCATGAGGAACTACTGCAGATTTATATTATTAAAGAATTTTAGTAGTATTACGAATTCAATCGACAATTTTATTTTTGAAAATCATTGTTAGTCGTTAATCGTTTTCCGGATTGACAGTCCTTTAGGCTTGTTACTTATTGTCTCATCTCAATTGCGCAGTATATTATGACTCGTCATTTACTTAAACTTTTAGCAGTACTAGATCAAGCGATGATCTGACTGTAAAGCCGCGCTTCAATGGATGTAACGAAGAAGCGGATGAGCTGAAACTGACGCTAAGTAATAACAACTGTACCGGGTGTTTAAAAAAGTACACAATTCTAAATGGTTACTATTAATTGAAATTTCCGCAACCTTTGTTGGAGATTTCTGTCAATATGGGACCCAAAAGCGCTTTCCAATTTCTTAGCTTCAACATTAATATTTTCGGAATACCTAGCGCCACGCATGTATGCATGTTAGCGTATCAGCTTATCCGCTTGTAAATCATTACATTTGTTTAAAGTGTATATGAAATGAAAATTTCGATATCGGGTTTTTTGCATTGTCTGAAAATTTGGTCTTTTGCGATCATAAAAATACAAACCTTGTTGAAAAATTCGAACCAGAAGTTTGTTAATTTTACGATTAAAGTTCGCTTTTTCGACTATCTACTGGCGAAAGACTGGTACCTAGAGTTCCGGGCGTTGTGACGTATGCAGTATGACACGCCGAAGTGTTTCACTATACGAAAACAACAAAATAACACGAACATCAGACAGTTGCCTTTATAATTCGCTATAAAAATGTCCGATAACTAAAGCTTTGAATCACAGACAGAGACAGAAGGGTCAACAGATAATGAGGACATCGCTGAGCAATCGTCTGTTGTTCAGCCATATCAATTTGAGCTAGTC